AACTTCTTTGCATAGATATAAGGAAAACATATAATTATAGTTCGATTAAAATATTTTTGAAGTTGTCAACTAATATTTTAACTTTGAAATAAATAGTTACAAATAAATCTAAAACTCAACTGAAATCATATTTTTCAAATTTCCAAACAAATAAAAAAATTATTTAAATAATATTATATTATAAACAAATTTTTAATTTTTTTATTTCTTAATACATAATACGTATTTAATATTGTATATTTAAATACATATTAATTAGAAGTTTTTAAATATTATGCTATGTTAAGAAGAACTACGTTCCAAATACTATAATAATTCAAAAAGAATCCACTACATTAGAAATTAATATTTATTATTATTTTTTTTTTTTAAATTAATATCAAAATATTACTGGGCCTTGCTGAGAAAAACTCGTGTGGAGGACCAGGCTTACTATATATGGCTGTATAAAAATTACAGGTATGTAAAATTATTATACTCATACTTACAAGTATAAATCAATTGCCTTTCCCGATACTTTAGGGTGTGATGTATCAGTTAATTCTCGAAACTATAAAAATAAAAATACATCAAACCACAACTAAATAAATTAAAGTAGGTAGAATATTTACAAAAAGTGTGAATAAGTTATTGTTAAAATACATTATAYAAAAACATAGTGATGTGAATAATAAATATAACTTCAAATATTGTATGATAAAATATGTATTTAAATCAGTGGCGCCGATCCCTATGCAGTTGCAATACCTATTAAGAGTGGGTGGGTGTAATAAGCCTACAAAACACACTGGCTAAAATTATTTTGATTTATGAAAGTTATAAATTATTTTATTTATCATCATAGCTAACATTATGAATTAGGATGAACCATTACCCTAAACGCTAACAATTGAGTAATTTCCAGGGGGGGGGGAGCTTCAGCCCACTATGCTACCGGTTTATATACTCTACTATCCCCCTTAACACGACCCTGCTGGCAATCTTTAAATGTACTTATAAGTTATAACTCTTGTTTGTTAAAATTATAGATAGATAAGTGGAAAAAAATTGAGGGACAGTCGCCCAACCTAATGTAGGTGGGTGGGTCTTGCTTTGCAGGTATGCTTTGCAATACCTCTAAAAACTGACTTCGGCGCCACTGAATTTTAAATGCATAAATTTCAAACTTTAAAAATATAATATTTTTATRATCATGTTAACTTACTTAATTAGTTCTTTATACTATGAACCCTATAGATTTAAAACATATTTTGTTAAACAAACTATTGTGTATATTATATATAATATAAACACATTAATTTTTATGTTTTCAATAATAATACTACCAGGTAAGTGATAACTCTATCTGCTATTCAAAAAAATGTTAAAGCATTAATCTATTAAAAAATTAATTTAAACTTATGTTAGAACRGTAGATGCTGCTTATAAGCAAGAGTTAAAGTAGAGGAGGACACAATAGGACTGAGTCTCCCTACGTCTAATGGCGGTTAAAAAGCAACCCAATTAACAAATTATTCGTAAGGTATACCAGAATGCTCCAATCATAACCAAACATTGGTCAATATAATTATAATTTATATTTTTTATGCATGTTACATTTTTTTTTTTTTTTATSAATAAATGTTATTTTAAGTTAAAGAAAATGCAATTTATGTTTTTATTAAAGTTGTTTTATTTTAAATTAGCTCTTTAGTAAAAAATGTAAAATGTAAAATTGAGTTTCATATATTCATATGCATTTATCATATGTAAGTAAAGAGTGAATGTGTCATTTTTTAAGAAGCTTGCTCCCCCCACTATGCGTAGAATTCAGATTTATTCTATTAAAATTTCAAGCATTAAATACATTACATTTTTATAATATGAATATTTTATGTCTGGTGATTTCTTTAGTTTTTTTAAAAGATAATYACTACTTAGAACTCTAATATTAYGAGAAAAAATATTCTTTTTCAAAATATTAAATTAGTATAAMAAWTTTTTTTTTAATCTTAAAGTGCTGCTCCCAATTTGAGTCTTAAAAGCGGTATGCGGTATCTTCTGTATTTAATAAGCTACTATCGTTGGAAGGCTTCTCTTTCTGTTAGTTTAGGAAATATTATTTACATAATATATTTTATTTTTTGTATGTATTCATCTCAAATAGACTTGTTGTGCTCAGCATAAATTATAAAAATTCAGTTTAAAAAAAAAACAGATTAGTCTAAAATCAATACATACAATTTTTTAACTCAAAACTAAAATGTAAGAATATTATTTTCAAATAAACTTATCCGAAGAAATTCAAAATAATATTTCAAAAACAAAATTTCAAAAATCTTAATTGTTTTCAGAAATGTTAAAAAGTCTTAAATCGGTTTATTAAGTAAAATGATTGGTAAGATATCTTARAGGAAAAATAAATGAACAAAGAGGTATTGCTCAAAGCCTCAGCAGAGCATATTGTAAGTTCATGTGGGTTACTGTAATAGCCAATAGATGTGTTAAATTATAATTCAATGATATTCAACCATTGTATACAAAAATGACTATGAGTAATGATAACTCACTCCTAAGCATATCTTAATTGTGCCCGTGCTTTCAGCACATATTGCTAAATATATATTATACAGGGTGATCTATTTACCGTTAGACACTTATTATTTAGAAGTTTTTTTTTTTTGAAATTTTGAAATTTAATGAAAGCTAAAAATAATTTGTATGAGATTTTCACGTTTTTTGTTACATAATAAACATGRATCAACCTTGGATTTTTAAATGTCAACACCTATATATTTTAATACCAACAAATTATAAACAATTTTTTTTTTAGATTTTCTGTGTTTGAATTGTTTATTTTTATTCAATACATTTTTAAATATAGCCAGTAAAACGATTGAAGAGAAGTTTTTTGTGTTTGTTTACACTTTTCCTTATTAATTTTTGGTCGAACATACAAATCAATAATCGGCTTATAAACCCTTATTATTTTTTATAGTTATTACCATTGAACTATATGATAACTGGAATGCTCACCAGCCATAAGACCAATATAAAGATAACTGAGATAGCGTGTTAGAAAAAGACAGCAGATAAGAATGGTGCTGCTATCTTTATCACACACAACAATATGATTCAACGACTTWAACGTTTTGTATTATGTTACTAAAGAGTAAAGTCTTAAGAGGACGCCACACCCGCATGTGTTATCTCCGTCTTACAAACGTATAACATAGCAAAATCTGTTTAGCGCGGGACAACTTTACTCCCTTTGTATTTATAGAAGAATTACCAAAATTCCACAACGCATAGGTAAGAACATTATCTGTGTCATAGCGTCGTTATTTTTTTGATAACATAAATATAATTAAAGTTATAAGCATAAGAAAATACATTTATTTTTTCATTAAATTACTTAAAATTATTGGTTTGTGCTATCAAAAAAATAACGACGCTATGACACAGATAAAGTTCTTACCTATGCGTTGTGAAATTTTGAAAATTCTATTAAAAAATATTGAGGGAGAAAAGTTGTCCTGCGCTAAACAGATTTTGCTATGTTATACAATTGTAAGATGGAGACAACACATACGGGTGTGGCGTCCTCTTAAACTCAAACTTAAAAAAAAAGTGAGCTAGAAATTCTGATCTGTCAAGAGATTTTTAACTTATTTTCTAATAAAATATATTTTATTCTCTTACTTTGATATTATGTTTTGCGTGTTCCTTGGAAACTTTCATTAAAAACACTCGACATGGGATTTTTAAATTTTTAGCTACGTCAATGAACTGCTTTCTTGATYCTACATCCGGATTTGTATTATCAATCACTACACTCACACTACCATTACTCAAGTACTTGGTAGTCTTAGCAATACACTTTTGCCACGAGCCTAGTGTATCTCTGTTAATTATTTTCATACGATCGTGACAGAATAATTTATTAACCGCAAAATAACTTTTTCCTGAACCAGGACAACCAACCATTATGATCATCTAAAAGTTAATTTTAATTATTATTAAAATTATAAATTGCATATATTGAAAAGGATTTACTTCTTTATGTGATGAAAACAAAACAGTGGATGATAAATTTGTGTAAAGAATATTTGACAGAACGTCATTTGGATTGAACGCWGGTAATGCAAAAACTTCTGCAGTAGATTTTTTCCAAAAGTATTCTTCAGGAGTATAAAATTTGAGACCTATATTTATGGCAAATAAACGGTCACAACATGAATGGTCTTTTTTTATTGGTTTACCATCAGAATCGAAACGAGCAGGCCGACCAGCTGCCCCACCACAAAAAAAACTATTTTCGATGTCAACAGATACACCTCCATTAAACTAAAATAAAATTATGTAAATATGATTTATCTAGTAACATAAAAAGAAAGAATAACCTTACGTCAGAGACTAAAATATTCCACATTCCTGGTGCAGGTTTATTGTATATATCTTTTTGAGAAGCTATAAATACTTGAACTGGTGTTTTAATCAATTTAGGGATATTTTCAATTTTTTTTTTTAACGCATATTCCTTTTCTATATCACCAAAAATATCTCCTTGATAAGTAAATATCACTATTTTGTAACCGTCATCAGACAATTTTTTAATAGATCTAGTAACTTCAGGGCAACACATTTTCCAAACATCYTCATCATCAGGAATAACTTTGCCAGACAGAGCAACACTAAGCATTCCGTCCATATCAAATGACGCTATCTTAAACATCATATAAAATTCTAAAATAAATAGCTTAAATAAACAGTTTCAATTAATTAATACTTACCTTATCTTTATGAACAATATTTGGACTGTTAAAAACTAACAATGTACCATCTCTATCATCCCATATCAATGTAGGATTTGAGGGAGGTGTTTTAGACATAATTTCTTTATTTAAACAAAAAGTGTTTCTTTGGTTGTAGTCTATACCATAAGTAGGTGTTATAAAATCCAAATGATAAATGTGATTGGTTTTATACAACAATGTTATTTTGTCTCCGTGATTTAAGATTCTTTTTTCTCCTTTCATCATAGTTTGATTATTAACAGCTGACCTACTTTTACCTAATTGTTGAACCCATACTCGAAATTTAGAATAGTCAGCTACAATTTTCACTAAAAAATAATAATTAATAAATAATAGTTAATTAAATCAAGAACTAAGATTAAATAACATATACAAATATTCAATATTAATCTATGATTTAATTTGATTCTAAAAATTGATACAAATTAAAATTAAGTGATAAAATATAAATAAAACATAAATATACCTAGAAAAGGCATTCRATAACATCAAATGGAAAACATTATTTAAAACAATGAGTCAAATAGGCATAGACTGGAGGGATAGACTATTATCTTCCAACTATACAAACAACAAAAGACCCAAATTGAAATAAAAGAAGTTAAAAAATATGCATTGATTAAGAAAGGAGTAAGACAAGGATGCTCTGTGTCRCCTTTGCTGTTCAATATATTTATTGAAAGTGCCATTCAACAATTTATAGAAAAAACGAAAGGTGTAAAAGTAAATGGAAGACAAATACACAGTATAAAATTCGCAGACAACATAGCCTTAGTAGCTGAAAACGAACGCGATTTGAGTAATATGTTGACAAATTTATCAATAGCCCTAGAACAAGTTCAATTAAAAATAAATGCCAAAAAAACCAAAATTCTAATAGTAGACAAATGTGGAAAAGAAATGCGGAGAACCATCAGTTTAAATGGCACACCTATTGAGGAAGTCAAATCATTTTGCTACTTAGGTAATCATATTACGCAGGACAATAAATACACGACAGAGATAAAGAGAAGAATAGCTTTGACAAAGCAAGCTTTTACCAAGAAACAAAATCTATTAACAAGCAAACACTTATCGATTAAAATTAGAAAGCATTTTATCAAAACGTATGTTTGGAGTGTAGCGCTATATGGTAGTGAGTCATGGACTTTAAGCACACTAGATAAAAGAAGAATGGAAGCATTAGAGATGTGGACATGGAGGAAAATGATGAAGTTCAGCTGGATAGAAAGAAAAACAAACATAGAAGTCTTAAATATGATAAAAGAACCAAGACAAATTATAAAAATGATGGAAATAAGAAAAACTAAGTTCTTCGGACACATTATGAGACATAACACATTCATTACAAATATTATGGAAGGGAAGATAAATGGGAAAAGAGGAAGAGGATGGCCGAGAGAGACAAATCTGGGAAGCATGAAAAAGCTATATTAACTCTTAAGAGCTATATTGAWATGAAAAGACTAGCGTAAAATAGAGAAGATTGGTTGAAGCGACAAGGCAATATTGCCTTTAGATAAAAAAAAAAATACCTATAAATAATTTTTCAACATTCAAAATAAAAAATAATAGGTAATAAGTAGGTGTAATAAATTATTTTTAAAGCATTAAAAATAACTATATTGAATAAGGTATATTTCTATTTTACCAGACACCTTTTTTTGTTTTAAAGTACCTATGTAATTAAGCATGCTGATAGAGAAGTTAGAATTTGGTGGTCAGTATGTGTTTTGAAGTTATAGGTATTTAAAATCCAAGATCTAACCAAATCAATCTTACACAGTTTAGTGATGTTTGTGATTTAATAGCAAGTGCAGAGAGTGCGTGACCACACCAGGTGTATATGAAAATACCATAAATTTCAATCAGCTATAATTTTAAAATTAAATATGAACACAAAATCTGACTCAGCTATTGTTTTCAGCATGCTTAACTAAATTTGTTAAAACAAAAAAATTTAAAAAAAAAAAGGTGTCCAATAAAACAGAAAATTCTTATATGAGAAGGTGCTAAAATAAACTTCAAACAATGTTATGTTGAGCAAAATTATATTTCAGAAAGTATAAACATAATATGTTTTTTTTATGATTTAATTTTGTTGGTATTGTATCTATTCTAAACACCCAAACAACATAAACAGCAGTCGGTAACAAAACAGCAACATTTATTTTAATTATGACATAATTATGTCACTCATGATTATCAATTCAAATTACTATGTACTTTAGTATAGATAGTAAAAATTTATCAAAAATAAACTTAATTTATATTATGTACCTACAATGTATTGATATAATATATTATAATATTATTTTATTTACTTTGATTTTTCGACATTCTATAATTGACTATTCCCGTTTGTTGTTTTTTTCCCAACATTAAAGGTTCATTATCCTGTAGTATAAATTTTTGATCCGGGTGTTCATCAGATACTATAACCCAAAACTTGATATTGTTGTTGGTCTTCTGATCTGACATATTAAACTGAGAAAATATGAAACGTGAACTGCCTACAAAAACTTATGTCGATACTCAATAGTTAAATCTTACAAATCGGTATTTTGAATAAAAAAAATTAAATCATTTGAAAATTAAAGTCGTACATTGGTTACTTAAAGCGATATTAAACGTCAATGAATTATTATACTAGCATAGTACTACAGTAGTATATTACCAAATACTATATAGTATTTGAATTTGATATTACTACGGTGACTAAGGACTGAAACTAAAGAGGTTATGTCAGTTTATTTATAATTTATATAAATAAAATATGTATAATAATATGGTATCCAATATATTATTATTATATTAATATACCACCTTSATTATTCATGCATTTTTGGTCAATGAATTAATTTTGATAACATATTATAATAATAACGAGATAAAGCAACCTTACCACAGTCAGTTACCAATGTTGTTCATCTACTCTGTGGTGGGTGACACCGTCTATTCGTCTGCTAGCATGGGGAACGGACCACGATAATAATAATATTATTATTTATTTTTACTTCATGATCGCACTCCAGAGTACACGCCACACGGTCTAGCCGGGTACACACTGTTCACAGCGCCTCGCTGCAGTCGGTCGTCCGTCTTTTATCGTATTCTGATTGGCCGTTGTAATCATACAACATTAGCGTAATTCATTCATTAACCAATTTTATTAATAACCATATTCTACTTACCGGGATGGCGGGATATGTTTAGCGTTTAATGTGTAGACCTCGGCTTTCGCCGTTTGAACGTCACGACTCTCGATTGCACGTGGGCACGTTACCACGTAGTGCACGACAGTCGACGTAGGTAGCTAATTCGAGATGATAATATCTTACGGCACAGCGGTAAATCGTAGCCCAGTTGAGTGATATCATGTATATATTATTATTATGTTATATTATGTCAGCACACTGTTTGTTTTCTCTCTCTGACCCACGCGTAACATAGACAAAACGCATTTACGAAGAATAATTTTTTCTGTGCCTTTAAGTAATTTTAGAGTAAAACCTTCCATTACAAAAAAGATAAAGGATAATATTTTTGAGGGAATGACATATCGATTTTATATTTTATTGATTGATATTTGACTTTCAAAATAAACAAAAAAAAAAAACTGTGGATTTAAATAATGTTTAAATTATTAAGAGACAATATTTAGACAAATCGATATGTCATTCCCTCAAAAATATTATTTTCTATATTTTTTGTAATGGAAGGTTTTACTCTAAAATTACTTAAAGGCACAGAAAAAATGATTCTTCGTAAATGCGTTTTGTCTATGTTACGAGTGAGCCAGAAAGAGAAAACAAATAATGCGCTGACATCCTCTAAGATAGGTCTCTTGGTCTTTACAATATTGAATTGTATAGAATTATCGATGTACAATATACGTACATCAGCAGCCCCTCGTCATTTGGAGTATTGCAGCGTATGCTAATGCCCCCCCTCCCCCCAATAGGTCCGTGTTTTTTTACAATAAATTATTATTGCAATTTTATAATAAATAATTGAAAGAAGTATTAATCATGATACTATTTTTTTGTGTATCTAATTTATAGAAATAGTATCAGCAATTTGTAGAGTTGTCTTGCACAATATAATACGGTATATTTTTAAATAATTGTAGTAAATTTTATTAATTTTTGTTATTATAGTATATGTAGGTACTACGTAATTTGTTATTCGGAACGTCGCGTGTTATTGTTTATATATATATATGGCTGTTAGGAATAATCTCAATAATGTAATGGATTTCCCATTCTGATATAAGTTATATATATATATATGTTATAGTTATAACTGTATCTTTCTCAGTTCTTTACCGCGTGAAACAGTTTTTGCAATGTTACGCACTTGTAAGACGGAGACAACACATGCGGGTGTAGCGTCGTCTTAATATAAATCTAAAAATATAATAAACGCTGTATACTCATAAACTCACAAATATTATTACACGTTTTGCTAAACAAAAAAAAACATATGCTTTTATTGTAGATTTTTATTATTAAAATGGTTGATTAACTGTGCATCTGTGACTATACTTTTTTAAATTTAATTGTAAGTACAATGTGAACCTATTTTGGATTATTTCAAAATATTGTGGAAAAATTATGGGCTCTCCAACGACTAATTATTGGCCTTTGATTTTTATAATTTCCGCCCCCGCTTAAAAGTCAGTTATAACCGCTACTGGCTAATGCATACCTAACATTTATCAAAATGCATTCTAGTCCTACCATAATTTTTCCGCGCCGGGTAAAGATTATCCTTTTTTTTTTTAGTTATCAATAGTCTCAAGCATCGGCATCTATCATCTATGGCCATAGTCTGTACTCTGTAGTAGCCAGTATGTATAGTAGATTAATAATTATGTTAAGTTAGGTTTCTAACTTATTTATAGCAATGCCGAACAAATAAGTGATTGCGGCTAATCACTACGCCACATAAATACAATAACATGCTCATAACTACGGGAGTGAGTGTACAATATTTATATTATATTAAATCATTAGATTTGTACAGAATAAAATTATCGAAGGTAGCGAGAAAATTATTTTTTAACTTTAGCATACGAGTATACCTCTATTATATTGGCGATTGGCCTCCCTTCTAGTAAGCATTTAGCATACGCTTCAAAAAATTGAAATGACGTCCTTGTGTGTAGATGTAATGCACGTGTGTCATAAACTCATAACTCGTAAGTCGTAAGTATGAAACAGTGATCACTGATCAGTATAGTGGCGTGGCGAGGCGTCACGGCTTCGTTGATTTTTGGGAGTGATGGTGGTGGTGGTGGAGGCAGATTTGTAAAATGTATTGCTTCTAATTATTTATGAACAGTGAACACACTACACGCGAGTTAAGGTATCTCCATAAGTATATTTATAATAATATGGATACAATTGGAATATTACCATGGCGTAATAAAAACATAAACATAGTTTATAGTTTAACAAACCGTTATCAGACACACATTCTCATTTCCCAGAAGCGACTTGTGCTGACAGCCCGCTCAATTATTATATTATTGTTATTATTGCAACTACCAGATACCTAGCACCTAGAGGCTAAAACTTGGCCTATAATTTGAAAATGGAATATTCTATATTAATTGCAAGTAGTTTTATTAAATTGTATAATGATATGGATTTATCCAGTATTCACTCAAATAATGAACTTATAATGATTGAAAGTGAAAATGAAAATAGCCCCGATTCTGACTCTTTATTTGTTGGGTAGAAAATCATGCAAATGTAATACAAGGCTCTTAACATATTATTACAATAGCAGATGAAAAATAAAAGAAATACATAGTCGCCATTTTTTTTATAAGCATTCAAAGTTTGATGACAAAATACGTAAAAATCACAAAAATTCGCAAATTATTTTAAGCTAGAAACTCTTACAACATTTTCTTTTTAAATCTAAGAAAGATTTGAAAATTTAATTCAAGATTCCTTACAAGTTTGTCAATCTTTATCACAAAAAAAATGTCCACCAGAAATTCAAATTAAATTTTTATGAGCGTTTGAAATTTAAATTTTTACAACATCGGATTTTCACTAGATTTTTCATATAGTGATTTTCTTATTTTGGTGTAGGTAACTCTATAACAAATGACTGCAGATACTTGTAATTTTCACTGAATATTTATATTTTAGAGATTTTCTATATTTAATAAAGTTTTCGAAATATTTTTATTAGTTTTGAGCTGTTTAGTGTTTACTGACATCTTAATTTTTCAACTTTTTTAGTTTTTTTTTTCTATCAATGTCAATAAAATTTTAGTGGCTGGGTCAAAAAGCTTCAAAATTTAATAAAAGGCTTCTAATATATTGTTTCAATAGAAGTTGAAAAATATTAAAAATACATGGCACGATTTTTTTTTATAATCATTTAAAGTTCAAATTTTGACTAAATACATAAAAATTATGGCAATGTTCAAATTATTTTAGATAGAAATTCATAAAAGTTATTCTTTTTAAATCTAAGATTTGTAAATTTAATACAAGGCTCCAAAATATTTTTTCAATAGCAGTTAAAAAATAAAAGAAATACATAATCACGATTTTTTTTTTACAAGCATTCAAATTTTGAATTTTGACAACATACGTAAAAATGGCGAAAATTCGTAAATTATTTTAAACTAGAAATTCCTTTCACAGATATCTTATCCGCTGGTTTTTCACTCTAAGCACTGTTCATCAGTTAATAGGTCAAAGAAATAATAACTTGATCTAATCAGTACCTATTTTTAAGAAGAAAAAAACAGAATCTGAGTATCTGATGATGGGTACGCAGACCGCAGCGGGCAGCCCGCTTTTTATGTTTKAATGCCCCTTAAATAATACTTTATTAAGGACACCACATCCGTAAATATCATCATATTGTGTTGTTTCGTCGTACAAACGATAAACATGGGAAAATAATTGTGTTCAGAAATTTCAATTTTATGAAGTAGGTATTCTTTAATAATAATATAATGAATTCRTCTATCATCATTTATCAATCTTAAAGTTCGTAYAGAAGAGACTACAGARGTTCTTGATTATTTCGATTCCACATATGTCAATGGTACATATATAAAGTCAGGAAAAGGTATATGAATATAAAATTTAAAAATAATAAACCGTTATTTCCATAAGAAATATGGAAGATCAACGAAACCACGATGAACGGTCATCATTGTAAAATAATATTTGCGAGTTGGAACAACCGTTTTATTTGATAAAATTTATGTTTCATACCTAATTAAGATGAGGGAGAGATAGGAAAAAACAGTATAGGTAGTTCCCATRCCTACTTAATTTGGGGATCTATTCAAAAGCCATTTCTAAAATCATTAGGAAAACTAATGCAGTTAAAAAACAAATTTAAGTTTTCATAAAAAAAGTAGGTACCTATATAATATTAACTACACAAAATAAATTTTGTTTGTTTTTTGATGGCAGTTTATCATCGTGTAAATTATTACTTAACCTTTGTTTTGGTTGATTGTGCTAAAGGTTGTATTGGTTTTAGACAAGATTGAAATGCAATTATTATTATTTACCTATGACCAATTATATATATAATATTTAAGTTATCGGATAAAAATACCTATATATGGACAAGGTTAAATACAATTTTTTTTCATATTTCATATTACCAAATTAGTAATTTATCGTTAAGATAATACAAAATGATGATCTATATATAATTATTTAATTCAATTAAGTATCTATGTTATAATTGCGTTGTTTTAAGATGCTATACTAATGCAATAGTTAATATTTTATAATATGAGTGAAGCTTGAATGTATTATTGTATCTAAAATGATGTTTTTTTTTTCTGTCATTAACATGTTAGGTGTAGTAAAACTTTCCGATTTTTTATATCAGCATCTATTCTGACAGAAAAGTAAGTATAGTTAGTGAATTCAGAATGATAAAATTGAAAATTCTCATTAGTTTTTGAGCGCCRGAAAAAACAAAAAAAAGTTCAAAACATTTTAATAGAAGATTACCAAATTTTTTTTAAMCCTTTATCAAGCTAAGATATTTTTGATTTTTGTTCATTTTTTTTTAAATTGTTAAATTAGAATAATTATACAAAATATACTCAGATGACAAAGTCTCTGGTCAGAATCATTTTAGCAATGATTTGTCATTGAATTCAAATGTGACACATCCATAACAATGACATTCTTAATAACTACCTATACAGTAGTAGAGCGGTACCCGCTCGTCAATGTTAATTATAGWTATTATTAAAAATAATACACTAGTGACTAGTGCATTGAAAAGAATGTTATCTTTACCGAAAGAAAGCATGAACTGCGATGTACCTCTAACCAAAATAGTCAATTTTTGAGTTATTTACAAAATTACAATACTAATATACAATAGTGCTTTGATGGTTTATAGTTRAACTTCAATATTAATATTATTTTCCGATTTAAAATATAAAACAATATACATTTTTGAGCAGTAATAATTGCTTTTAACAGGTTATAATTATTAATAATAATTCAAATATATAACACACATTTTTTTTTTTTTTGATTCAATTTAGAATTAAGATAGTATGTGGGTACAACTTCTTAAGTGGAAGTTGTACCCACTGTGTTATTTCGAGCCTTACTACTGCATAATGATGTAACAAAATAGATGTTTGACAGTACAATTTTGTATCGTTGATTTAAATATTAGAGTTAATTAACCTATTACCAATCTTGATTTCATAAACATTATCAGTGTTTTTTCATTGATTTTTATTTTTAAGTGAATTATGAGTATTTATAAATATACATTTTTTATATACTTATGATTCACTTTAAGGCCACAGTTTGAATATCCCTGCTGTAGATACTGATAATAATATAAGCTACCCAGTTGCGTWTACAAGCGGCAGATGTAGGGGTCAGATCGCCTCCCCTTGGCTTTTTTTTGTTTTTGATTACATTATGTAGAATGCACTATAATGTAATATTTTGTCATATTATTATATATTTGTGTTTGATGACAGGATTTATTACCCTTATACATTTAAATATGGTAGCCAAGAACATGTGTAATCTTATGGTGCAAGTTTCAAWACGATCGCACAATTTTTACATTATAAATTAATTTKTAAGCATAAGATTGCAATAAATGCCAGATGATTTCTTGTACTCRATAAAATTCCAGCAGTCTTCAACTGTACCAAGGGCTTTTCAAGTGTTAAACATAAAATGAAATTTTCAGGGCTGATAGCCCAAATCATGCCTAATCAAACTGTGAAGATATCAAGTTGATAGACTACTAAAAATACTTATTTGGTGTTATTTTTAACAGATTGGGCACGTTTCTTATCAGATAGCATTCAAATAACTATTTATTTTATTATGTATAAATCCGCATGACAAATTAGATACGTAACATCAGTTTTTAGATACGCAGCCCCTGCTCAAATATTTCTTCAGTTCACCTATATCGTAGTTCTCCAATTATTATTGGTTGATAGTTCGTACAAGAATGTTTGATTCAATAATTAAATGCAACACTTCTCTATGGCGAAAAACCGTGTAAAAATTTAAAACTTTAACTTTTTAATTTATTAGTTATTAATTATTATATACATACAGTACAGTATATAATATATACTATATTATAGTATAAATTAATTTTTGTTATTTAATATTATATTGAATTCTACCTAAATGCCTAGTAAATTATAAAMTAAATATAATTCATAATAATTATCATGAACATAAAAAAAAATTAACCAATCGAAATTGGAGAACTAAGACATAGGTCGGAGATGAAGGAGATGCTCATACTGCACTAAACTAATACAACTGTGCTGATACCTATCTAATTTGTCATGCAAATCCACTTTCAAATTACATATAACTAAAATAAATTGAAACTAATCATCGTTTATCAATAGGTATAACTGTCTTAATTTTTTATTATTAAAATTAAGTTTAACAAGATACAAGATTAGCTAGATAATACCCAAAAATATGACATTGAAAAGAAAAGTTCAATTTGATACAACCATAGACTTATATAATATAGTTCCTTACAATATATAGATAAAAAAAAAATACATATTAAACACCTATCATTACACGCAATTTTTAATTATTTTCTAAAAGTTTGGAATCGGATGGAAGGCAATAATACAAATCATAGTTAATTTCGTTAACATCAGCCACTAACATTATCAATATGATAAAAATAAAACATTTATTATTAATCAGCTCAATAGTCTGATACAAAAGAAAAAAAATTGAATACACATAATATAGAAGTACATATCCATGTACATTCTAAACTTTCRAGGCACTAAATTATAAGTATAAATTAACGATAGTTTCAATATTCAAGTAACTACTAAAGTGCTTAACTACAAAACAATTTTAAATGGATAATATACATTGTACGTTTTATAAAATATGTGTAATTTGTTGAAAAAGTGAACCCGTCTAAAAAAAACCTTATTAGAAAAATAAAGTAAAAAAAAACAATGATAATATCAATAGATCACTAAACAAAAATGCATTTTATTTCCAAATATGCTGAATATTCCTTGTTTAGTCAAAAGTAAGTTTGGAATTGTTTAATAATGACTTATTAGCAACTTTGAAAAAAGTCCTAAAACAAAAAATAAAATATATTAATTCCAATACAGAATTTTATACGATTTTGTTAAATCCATTTTTATTAATATTTACTCATGCGAATATTTTTGTTTGACAGCAGACAGATTTGAACTTTGAGTATGCAACATGTTGTTTAATTTAATTACTGTTTCTTTAATTTCTGTTACTCGATACTCTTAAAATAAATAATTAATTAATGCAATAAGATTCAATGTCAATATAATTCTGATAGAAAAATATGATTAATTAGTAGGGTTGTAGGGTATCTTAGGATCCTGTCTAGTTAGCTCTCTTTGTTGCCAATACAGGTTAACCTTTATTAAGTTATTTATTGTATTATTATTGTTTTATTGTAAACTAAATAAAATATATTGATATACAAATACACATTTACATATAATATTATTATAATATTATATATTATATAAATTTCATCAATTWTTATAAACTTTATATTGATGTAMTAAACCTTAATGTTTTCATTAGTGAAAAGTTATTTTCCGTGATTAGAATTAAACACTCAAAAATGTAAATTAATAACTATTATTTATGTTCTATAMATTTTGTAATAGGTTAAGTTAGGCATATTCTTTTTAAATATTAAACTCATAAAATCGCATAGTATATGTTGTTTAGGAAATTAAAATATTGCTAGATCAATATATCTTCAACAATGTTTTCTAAATAAAATGTAAATATTACCTGTATATTTGAAAAATTCTTTTGCTTCTACCACTTTATTACACATTTTAAATGCTAAGTATAAGGATGCTGCAGCTTTCAATGAATCTTTTAAAGTCACAAATGAATAATCTAATAAACTGCATTCCAATATATATCTTGCTAAAGTTAATAAAATCATTTGGCATTTCATGCACTAAACATAAAGGTGAAAATTAAAATTCAATAGTGATAAGGGATAAACAATTCACTTACACGGGCATATCGCCTCAAAAATACATAAGACAGGGGAACATTGACTTCATACTTTAAAGCTCTAAATAATTCTTTTTCAGTAACAAACAATTCATCTTCTGTATAAATGTACTTGCTATGTTTGACTAGGTCGTAAGGGAAACCAGGCTCTCCCCTCTCCTATTGAAAAATGATTTTAATTAATTATGATTCAATAATAAGTATTAGAAAGTCTTTTTTACTTACATCAATCTTAGTAGCTAATAATAATGCTCCAGAGGCTAAAAGTTGAAATTTATTTTGTAACGTTTCATTTTCCATTAAATACAGATCAATTAGTTTGACAGCCATGTACAATACTTCATGATTTAACCCATACATTTCTTGTAGGCTTACTAACCAGTTAACAACAATTGCTCGATGTTTTGCAGTTAATTCAGGTTGATTACTAATATAATCAGTAATAGGAAAGTTATCCTATGATATAATGAATTAATACATTGCGCAATTGTTGTCAGATTCATAAATTACTAAAAAAATTGTACTTACTTCCCTTTGTTTAAGGTATCTTATAATATCTCGTGCATAACAACCTACATACATGAAATTATTCCAACTGTTCTGATCTATTTCAAATATTTCTTCTGCATTACTATTGACACTTCTAAAATTAAAAAAGATCAATAAAACATTATTAGAAAATAAATGTTAACCAATTGTACAGAATTGACATACAATTCTTGTGCAGCAGAGTGGTATAAATCAGAGTGGTTGATTTCAAGAGAAGAATGATGGGTACTATCAACAGCAGTTGTATATAATTCATCAGACTTTGTAGAATGTCTCGAAACTGCCGTTTCTTCAAGAGTTGATTTGAAAAGATT